AGCACAGGTGAGCTCTCAGGACAGCCATTTGTCCCAGAGGCCGCTTGGTCAGCTGTTCTTCCTCATGTCTAGCCAGGTAGGACCTCTTTAAAAATCAAAGCAACTGAGTCTTGAAGAATGGAGACTCAGGTGGACCCAAGGCGGGAAAAGTCAACACCCCCTCCCCCACTCTCCTCACAGCACCCTGTCCTGCCTGGGTGCCTGGTTGCACCCACCACATTGCAATGCTTACTTATTGGTTGCAGTCTCCCTACTGGGCTCTGCATGCCAGAGGGAATGGGCAGCATCTGGCAGGTACACAGCTGCACCCTCGGAGCTGAGAGTAGTGCTGGCACAGAATAGATGCTCAATAGCATTTTGGATGGGGGAATAGAGGGAGCATGAGAGGAAGCAAGACCAGGCAAGAGTCCTTGTGCTCTCGGGAGGGAGTTAGAGGATGAGGCTTTAGCTGCTCATCTCTGGTCCAGTTCAGCAGCCTCAAGAAGTGTCGGCATCTCAGCAAAGGGGATCTCTTATGAGTCAGGACATGCACCTCTAGGCCCTGACCCATATTTAAAGAGAAATTCCTCTTTCTCAGCCATGCAGCGTGGGGACTAACATATTCCTCCCACTACCTCCTTTCCCTGAGATCCCTCAAAGCCACCCCACCTATCCAGGTGTTGGGTGCCATGCTCCCAGCTGTCCCAGCTGACATCCAGGGTTGCTGCAAGCATGGAGGGAAGAGCACAGCTGAGGCCTGCCCAACAGCCAGCTCCTGTGCCTTGTTGGGAGGCTGCCCTGGAGCTGCTGGCACCATTTTCCCATGCCCACAGCTGGATGAAAGTGACCAGGGGCTAAGTCCCTCCGGGGACAGCTCTGATGGGCGTGAGGATGGATATCCCAGATCCCTGGCCCTGGGCTGGGATAAGGCTGCTGTGTGTGTTTTATGTCGTTTCCTAGAGCCCCCTGTCCATCCAGGGATCAAGCTCACAACTGCCCACTATGGTAGCTGGCTCACTGGCATCTTAAAGTGGCCGGCTCCCCTTTCTTGTAGCTCCCCTCACCGGGTATCCTCCACCTCAGGCAAACCACACGCCTCGACCCTCACACCAGGGTCTGCTTCCGGAGGAAGCCCTGCGCACTTTCCTCATGGTTAGCCCTTGCCAGAGTGACTGCAAGTGGCAAAACACTGGGAAGTGGGTGCCAGCCAGCACTGTGGGGCCCTGGCATGTGTGCCCTCCAGGAACTTCAAGTTGCCCATCCCTCTATCCCTGACGTCCACCGTCTTGGCATGCTTCCGGCATTCAGAAAACACTAGGTTCACACGGAGCCCCGGCTGGTCCCAGGGAGCAGCCAGGGCCTGGGCTTAGGTCCCATCCATCAATGCCTGTGACTCAACCAAAGGAACAGCTCATAATGTGCAAAGTTCAAAGACCATTACTGTCTGTTACTCTCCCTTCATCTGGTAATGATTTCCCAGAACACTACCCTGGAGTTTAGTGCTGAGGGCTGGAAATGGTCTCCTGTCTGCACAAACAGATAAATATAGGTGACCTTCTCACGTGATGGATTGGGCAGATGGCGTCCGGGTACACGGGAACATGAAAATGATACTTGGCTTGTTGGGAGATGAATGTTCCTTCACACAAACTATATGTCCCTTTGCCTTCCCTTCCCTAGTGGGTTTGCTGCCAGAATAATAATTGCAGTATTAACAATACATTGGCATTTCCTGAACATTTATTATGTCCTAGGCACTGAGTGAAGCACATTGCCCCAATTACTCCTTGCATATCATTCTCTAGGGTGGCACGATTATACACCCACTCCATCTATAGGCAAGGCAATTGAGGCTTCTAGAAGGTTCAGTAACCTTCCCAAGGGCTCACCTTGTTAAAGAGGCGAGTAGAGCATTAAACCCAACTCTAGGCCACAATGCTTGGCACCGGACTAGCCACATCATTTGTGGGGCTCAGTGCAAAATGAAAATGCAGGACTCCTTGTTCAGCAGTTATTAACAATTTTAAGATGGTGACGGCAGAGCCTAATAACAACCCTGGGGCCCTCTAAGCGTGATTCTCTGGGAGGCGGTGAAGGTTGCGCCACTGGTTATGTGGAGGCAGAAGAGAGTGATGTGAATGAGGATGAGGACCCCGGTGGGGAATGCTGTTTATCCCCAGAGACAGAGTGATAGCTCACATAGATTAAACGCCAGTCAGTGAGCTTGAATATTTGGTCAGAGAGCTGGTCACTTTCTGTCAGAAGCTAAATCAGTTCATCGGATTAGAACCCCGCAAATACTTTCCCTCAGCTGGGCCTGCAAAGAGTCCGTCCTAAAGAATGTGAGGGAATGTGGCCGGCTCCAACATGGTACATGGGAAAGGGCCTGTGTCTTGAAGCCAGAGACATGAAAACGGATTCTAGCTCACCTCCCAGCTTGTGATTTGGGGAAAGTTCCTGGACCTCTTTGAGATTCTGTTTTCTTATTTGTATGATGGGAGAGTTACCACCTCTCAGGGTAGGACCTGGTATAATGGAGGCAGTGATACAGTGTATATAAAGGTCTCAGAATACAGTAAGCTCATCATAGTTTAGCGGCTATTTTCACTGCGAAGACTTGGGGACAGTTGAAAGAGCACATGATGTGAAGGTGGGAGATACAGTTGAGCCCTGAACACTGCCTCCCATCTGTTATGGTGTCAACTGGGCAAAGTCACTGAACTCTTTCCAGGGTCAGCATTCTCTTCCGTAAAGTAGATCCAAAATAATGTCCACAACACATAGGATCCTGAGAGCCGCACATGAGTGAGAGATTATGAAACTGGGAGAGGCGATCATTTCTATAGCTGGTCTGTGTTTGTTGTTATAACTTATAAATGGTTAAGGTTGGGAGGGGGCTTAAGAGAGGGTCACCGTCACCCTCCCCAGATTCCTACTGTCCCCATAGAAGCTTCGGGGCCTCCTTGCCTGAGCTCTCCCACAGGCACTGAGTGATCTAAGTGATTTCTCCTCTAAAAGTTTTCCACATTTCCACATTCTTAACCCAAACTTTGATGCCATTCCAATGCCTGCTTTACAGTCGAACCCAGAGGGCACTGAAAAGACAACAATAAATCAGGCCAAATACCACATAGCTGGTAGAAGCTCCTCCATACTGATCTCCAAGGCTTTCTGTATTTTATAGGACATTTCCAATTATAAATTGAAGTTTGAGATGGTTTATGTTTTGCTGGAGATGCGTCCACCCTAACCAAATTGCTTTGTGCTTTAAGAAATTCAATATACATAAAGGATTCAATTTTCTTTGAAAATATGATGTGTGTATAAAAACATTAAAATTTGAAATTCTCTCTGAAACTTTAAGGAAGGGCACAGTGGGAGGGAAATTGAACATTGTCTAATCGTATATACATATAATATACAGAGATATGCACCTGCTCACAGCTGCCTGAAATATCACCATTGTCATTTACATTTAGAACACTTTTCCAGCCCATCTTGAATTCCAGTCACTCATATACAATGCCCGGGTACCACAGATGGAAAAGGAGAATCATTTTTCTGCTCTGCTCCATCTCCAGTCTCTTTAACAGCTTTCCTCATTGGTTCTCCTAACTTGTTCTGAACACCAGCTTGTTTAAGATTTCTGTAAACATCAAACTCAAATTCCAGGGTCTCTCTCACCAAAAGCCATCTCTCCATCAGAGCAGCCTCCTGAGGTGCCACAGGAAGTTCCGCCCGAAATGATCTGACCCACCTCCACCCGCTACTCGCTGATTTTCCGGTGCTGTTTTCACCCCTCTGTCGCCACCCTCACCCCCAAATGCCCTCCAGCACACACAGGGAATTCCCTCTCCTTTTTACAGAATGCATTCAAATTCCAGAAGAGAGAGGGTCACTCCTGCCCCTGGGCATCTGATGAAGTGCATAGAGATCCAGCTCCTTGAAGTTGAAGGGAGGTTTTAGGCACCTTCCTTACAGTTATTCACCTGCTAGTCTAGGCAGGTTACCATGACAACACTTCTCGCACCTCATACAACTACACGTTATTGATACATCCCATCAATTCAGGCGGAGGGTGGGAGGGCAGGTAACCAGTCGAACAAGCTATCCAATGTTCTGATGGATAGCAATGTTCAGCTATCTCCCATCTGGCCACGGAGTGACTCTTTTACTTACTTGTTTTGCCATAATCTGGACACAGCCTCAGTGATAGTCTTAATATGGCACTTTTTCACTTAAATGCATTTTAAAGCTTAAAATCAAAGTACAGCCTTACACTAGGGATGTTTCTTCTTTGCTCTCCAGTTTCTCAAGCATTATTCTTAGGACTAATTTCTGCTGCTGGTCACAGAATGCTTTAATTAGTATCTACTGGGCCAGAAAGGGAGCTCTAATTGTAAAACCTTCCCTGACAGAAAGGTTAAATGTGGGGAAAAGATAAAAGGAGCTCTGTAATAACTCTGAGTCATTTTCATAACAGTAGGTACAAGTATTTCCAGGGAGGAAAATAAAATGTCTTGCCTTTGGCCCTTTGACTGAGGACAAAGGTTTCTCCACGCACATCTAAGGAAAGGGGAGAAAAAAGGCCTACCCATTTTTCCAAAATGGTTCTGATTAAAATGCAGCTATGAAAAGAAATAACTGAGGAGCCTGCAGTGGGGACTTTAATGTCCTTCACAGCCCCACTGCTTCACAAAGTCCAGCCGGAGGCCTCACAAGGGTGAGCTAGATATTTACATTGTGTCCCACGGTAGCCATGCGTTAAAGACCTAGATGTCGGTCACCCTTGAAGGATCACCTTTAGGGACAAGGGGAGATATTTCCATAGTTTGCAACACCCCAGTCATGTTCTGAGTTGCATCTTTCCAGCTCTTGCTTTTACCCAGGGAAATAATATGTCAATGATGATGCATACCAACAACAAGTTGGAGTGGCAATACATAGCGTCTCTAGTCCCCAAAGATCAGAGTATGCCACTTCCCAAGCCATTATGCTAATGATAAACCAACTTAACATACCTGTAGGCGATCCTTCCATGACATGGCCAACATAGGGGCCCTCTCGAAAGCTTGGTCTATTGTCGTTCTGATCAATCACAATGACTTCCAGAGGGACTGGCCCCTCAAGAGTTCTGCCGTTAACATCAATGGTCTCCACAAATAGCTATTGGAGCAAAGAGATGGAGAAAGAGGGATTAATTCATTATGGAAATTGAAACCAGGTTCTCTGGAGAAGGTTGGTTATATCAGCAATTGTATGAGCCCTCAGCAATGTTGTGGTCTCAATGGATAGACAGTGGGACTAGAATAGAAACTAAACATTAGAGAATAAAAGACAAAGATCAATTCATGGGAGGTCCCCCTTGGGAAATTTACAATTAATTTATCAAATCTGCAAAGGAAGTCCAAAAAAAAAGAAGAAGAAAAAAGAAAAAACAAAGAAAACACTCGTAATCAGCCATAGCTGAGAAAATGTGCTTACATTGTTTCTGTTTTTCCAACATCGTTATGCTTAAATGGAATGTTATGCTAATAAAAATAATTGACTAAGCAGTTATGAACAGAGTACATTAGAAAATAACTGAAAGTGTTTATAGTAATGTTTGGGAGAAATTCAGGGCAGTAAGTATGTATAGAGAGCCTTCCTGGTGCAAGGAAGCCATTGGCTGGGTCCTGAATGAGACCTCAGGATTCCTGCCCACCAGGCCCTTATAATCTATGGGGGAATGTCATAATTCCACAAAACACTTCCAATACAGAATTACCTTCAGATCTCAAGGATGAAGAAAATAATAGCATAAAAAACATTAGCTTTGTTGTCTTGGAAACAGGAAATTATGTCATGACATTTCCAGTGAATCACAGTAACCTTATGCTCTTATTTTCTGAGCCTACTTCAGCCCGGATTGAACTCAGCAGGGACGGCAGCACTTCTCCGTGGATATCAGTGGTGGTCCCTGCATTGAAGGGGGTTGAGCATTTCAGTCGGGAAAGGGTCTCTACAGTGGGACTCCTCAGGAAGAGGCCTCTGCAGCTGGAATCCCAGCATAACATTAAAAACACTCATTATTAGGAATAATAATCAATATTATCCAGGGCTTACCCAGGCTCTCTACCATATTAACTCCCTTGATCCTCACAGTAATCCTAGGACCCTTTTGTGAGGAGGGAACAAAAGCAAACAGAGATTGTACAGTGGAGTCTAGATTGGACCCCATGAAATCAGGCTCCAGAGATTACATTTTTAACATACATAATGTTTCTAAGTCACTTAATGCCTGTCACATAAAATATCTCAAGAATATTATAAGGCTCTGGCCAGGTAGCTCAGTTGGCTGGAGTGCCGTCCCAATATACCAAGGTTGTGGGTTTGATCCCTAGTCAGGGCACATACAAGAAGTAAGCAATGAATGCATAAATGAGTGGAACAACAAATTATTCTCTCTCTCTCTCTCTCTCTCTCTCTCTCTCTCCCCCCACCATTCAATAAATTTAAAAAAGAAATATTCAATTAGCTCCTGCTATTGTTGCTACTGTTATTGTTATCAACACCAATGTAAAAACTAGCCCAACCCTGGCTGGTGTGGCTCAGTTGGTTGGAGTATTGTCCAGTACACCAAAAGGTTGTGGGTTTGATCCCTGGTCAGGGCACCTACAGGAGGCAACTGATGGGTCTCTCTCTCTTTCTCTCTCTCTCTCTTTCTCTCTCTCTCGTCAATTAAGGAAAAAAACCTAGCCCACATTAGGAAAATAAGATAGAAACACCTTTGTTACAAACCAGCACAGTACCCCACGTAATGGTGCTGTAATTGGTATCATTCTTTTGGAAAGCAGCATGGGGAAATCCAACAAAAAGCTTTGAAAATGCATACGTTTTGTTCCATTTGTATACCACTCCTGGTTCCATTTGAGTTAGGTTGCGCTATGTATATGAAAATATTCACTGTAGTGTCATTCCTAGTAATGAAATAACACTGGCATCCACTAAATGTCCAGTGAAAGGGGACTAGTTGAATGAATGTTTATGAAACAACATGCTAGAATACAGCCATTAGAGAAAATGATTACTAAACCTTGTTGATCTACTAAGAATATTGTGTGAAAATACGCTAAATAGCATGTGTAACATATACATATGGACAAAATTTGAACTTAGTAAGCAAAAGTAAAACCAGGTATGCTTGGGTAGAGACATATAGTTTTCATTTTTTTTACTTTAACAATCTTTTCACTAGCAAATTAAAACACACACCCACGCTTTGATTTCTGCAGCAAACAAAATAACGCACATATACTTTAATTAAAGGGGCAGAGCCTTTAACATCTGCATGAATAGAAAATCTTAAATAGAGTTCATTCTTATACTTTTACTAGGGGCCCAGTGCATGAATTTGTGTGCCTTGAAAGGAACCGTGGGCCATGAGGCTGCAGTGGGCACAGGGGCAGGTCTTGGCCCATCCTCCACCCCCCGCCCAGCCCCTCCCATGGCAGCATCTGGTCCCCAGTCTGCTGGCAGCCCAGCTCCCACCACTGCCACTCCCACATGCTGACAGCGGCAGCCCTGCTCGCACCAGCTGACAGCACGGAGCAATTGGGGCTGGTGTCCTCAGCAGGTGTGAGTGGGGCCATCACTGGCAGCGCGTGTGAGTGGTGGCTTCCAGCCCCGAGTGCCCCTCAGGAGCAGGAGGAGGTGGAGAAGCTCTGAGGGGTGGTTGGGGCTGGCAGCTGCTGCTTACACCTGCTAACAGCGCCGAGCGACCGGGCCCGGGGCCGGGCACCAGCAGTGGGTGTGAGCAGCAGCTCCAGCAGCAGGTGTGAGCACCAGGGGAGACCACGGCGCGTGGGAGCAAAGAATTTTCAGTAACCACCAGAGGCTTGCCCTGATGACAGTGACTGGCAGCCCACCTTGGTCTGATACCCCCACTTACCTGCTCCACCCTCCCACCATGGCCGATGCCCGCCATGTTCTGTGCTCTGCCACCTGCTGCCAACGCCCGCTATGTTTTGCACATGTTCCCTAGTGGTCAGTGCACATTATAGTGACCAGTTGTTTCGTTGTTCCGCTGCTCAGTCTATTTGCATATTAGCCTTTTATTAGATAGGATGCTGCTTTTAAAATCTACTATGAGAATACTGCTAAAGAAAGAAAATTAAAACAAAGCCTTGGGGAGAATTCATCAATAATGAAGGTCTGGCCTTTTGTCCTACCAAAATAGCCAGAGTTGACTTTAACTTAACCAAAAACCTATGTCTAAAGACAACACATATGTTGGATCTGAATCTTAAGTTTTCTGTTTGTTCACAAACTGGCCCCCGTACATGAAGGGTGTGGAGAGATCTAAGAAAGAGGTGCACCACTCCAGATGGTAGGTAGCAGTTTAATAAGTAAGGGAACCTATATATGAGACTTGTCTTGGAGACCACAAGACAAGCAGATCTCTGTGTCCACCCACCAGGATCTTGAAAGTTTATGTGGGTTCAGTCACATATGCCATCCAGATGGACTCAACAGCACCTTACTGTCTCAAGGCTGTGTCCTTTATAAAGCTCACACTGTGGGGATGGTGGGCAGAACATACATTCCAAGGACAGGAGAGGGGTGAGGAGCCTGACTGCATGGGTCCAGCTTGTGGGGCAACAGGCGGTCACATCCTCTTGATGACCTCCTCCTACACTTGCACTTTCTGCAAGACTCGGGTCATATAAGAAGCACAAGTAGGACAAAGGAACAGAATTCACATTTGCCAAATATGCAAATATACTGGAACTGGGAAGAGCAGGCTCTATCCATCTCAACATAATGGGAAGACAGACAGACAGACACTAAGGAGATATAATTGATTAGGATAAATGAAAAATGTTGCACCAAATCTCATAAGATGAATTATGTAAGTAGACAACCTGATAGCAGTTTATGTCATTTCAGTACCCAGAGTTTGACTCCTGAATTTTTTTAGTGGAAAACAATATTGCTAGATACACTCTGGGTTATCAGTGGGGGGCGGGGGGGGGATATGTATGTGCTGGCAGGGGAAGTACCTATTTTAGATACAATAGTTTGGAAGACTTTCTACAGACTTTCAGGCCCTGCCCAGAATCTACTTATTGCTGAAGGAACATTTTGACTGAGACTTGAAAGACAACGAAACAGAAGGAGCTGGCCGCGTGAAAATGCATGGAAAAGAGTTGTAGACAGCAGGTGTAATGGCTTCTAGTTTAGCATTATATTAGGGATGGTCTTGGTACAAGATGAAGTCAAACTGGGGCTCCACTCAATTCCAATGGAGTAGACTAAAGTCAGTTCTGCTATAACATTCTTTGCTGGATAAACAGAGATGAGGGAGGGAAAATGATATGCTTATTTCTAACAAAGAAAACCATAGTAGACTGCATAAAATATAGAATAGGAAATGCTAGTGCCTTACTAAGTAGTCCATGCATTTTCCAAAGGGCATATATTGAGTGTGGATGAAAATTAAGCAGTCATGAAGAAATTATTAGTAAACATGACCTTATCTACCCAATCACTTACTATAAAGAAATCTGACATTCCAGTGAATTTAAATAACTATTCTCTTATGAAGGTCACATCCACAGTTAACAAATGTGAAATCTTCTGAAATGGGACTCCTAACTTTCAGAGGGTACCTCTAGTATCAGAGGATAAATGTTTAATGATGTGTTCACCTTCCTTTCCTCTACTTAATTGAAATTCCCAAAACACACAAGTCCTTAGTCTAAAAAGACTGGAACAGTGTTTGTTTCCTTTGAGTCACAAGTTCTATTCTAGGGGCTGTGTTTGCGGCTCCAGAAATAAAATAAACCGAATGCATTCTAAGGGAGGCTTTCTCATGCCTGTTCTTGATGTTTAAAGTGAGATGCCAATTAGTAGAAACCTACTGTGAGAAAAACAAACAGGCAGCCATTGGCAGAAAGCAATGGAATAACTGCTCACAGGAAATGGAAATCACCCCGCTTGTCACTGACTATTTCTGCACCATCTTCTTGGACTGCTATTCTTAATGTGAGTGGTTGATCTTCTTGGGAATAATGAGGGGTGACATATAACGAGGTCCACTGTGGAACCAGAAAGAGAGAAGATGCTCAATAAATTAGATCTAGAAACAGTTGCCCAAGTTACTTGGACAAGTAATTGCCTAATAA